ATCCAGATGTTGCTATCTTACATTGCCCAGGATGACAATGGACGATGTGGTTTCATCCTTATGAGGTTCGTTAGAGGAAGGGTGTACATTGCAATCAGCTCTGCCAGGCTGCCGCTCTGCACTGCACTTTGTAATCCCCACGAACAACATTACTTAGCAATACATTTCACAGCTTAAATCAGAAAGTGTGGCTTCCTTTTGAAGTTCCCATATGTTAATCCAAACCAAATATGTGTTGTCTTCTTTTGAGGTTTTTTTTTTTTTTAATCGTCTTCATGATTGGGTTGGGAATTTCCACATTCTACTGGAAAATCAAGAGAATTAAAGAGCTGCTTCAAAACTCAGATCAAGCTATCAGTAAGTCTTTATAAATATCTAAAGTACAGGTTTAGCTAGTTTCAAGAAAAAAAGATCTAAAATTAAGAAACAATTTTTGAGCTTCATATTAACCTAAATCTTAAGGCTATTGTAATGACCATTTTCAAACCTGAGGAGGCCACCCTGTTTGGACGCTTCAATTTACTCAGCATAACGCTCAAAGTTCTTAATCCAGCATTCAGAGATTGCCCTCTGCGAATGGGTCTGATCTACTATTCCAATTTCATTTTCTGCCACTACCTCTTTTCTCTCTTCCCAACACATACTCATACACAGACATGTGAACACCTTGGCAGCCACAACCTAAAAACTTGCAATTCTCTGACATGCTCTTGTATCTGTATATATTTACAAACCATTTTCTCTGCCTGACGTACCCAGCAGCCTCCTTTTTAACTTGACTAACAAATAAGAGGCCCCAGTGGTTAAGGGCTGGGCTGCTAACCATAAGGTCAGTGGTTCAAGTCTACCAGCTGTTCCTGAAGACAAAGAGGAGTTTGTCTGTTTCTCTAAGAACTGACAGCCTTGAAAGCGGTAAGGAGCACTTCTCTTGGGCTGCTGTGACAGAAGTGACTCTGTGGCGGTAGATTTAGTTTGTTTTGGAACAAACAACTATTTCAAGGATCACTTTCCCTTGGAGGCCTTCCTTGGTCTGTAAGACTGAACTACATGCCCAGTATCTTCTTCTAGTATTCATTCATTAACCCGACACTGATTTAGATGCTTTCTGTGGGTAGGGATTATGGCTTTGCACATCTTTGTATCCATGAAACCTAGCTAGAAAAGCTTGCAGCAGAGAAGAGAGTTATAATTAGGGATGTGGGCTAGTCAGTCTGAGGAAATCTCATGTCTCACAGTCTCTCTCAAGACTAATGACATTAGCCTTCCATGCTACTTCTTATCTCTGTACATATTCTTATCATGGAATATTATACAGTAACGAAAATCAAATAATAACACTAGAGATATAGGCAGCAACAGGGATGAGGCATGCAGCGTGATTCCAATTAGATCAATTTCAAAAATCGGCACTATTAAGTTGGACTGTTTAGGGATTCATATATAGGAGTAAAAGCTATACGTGAAAGCAAGAAGACAATATTATAAAAGACAGGCTTGTGATTACCTAAAGGCAGGGGAAGGGACACACAGGGCCTTTGGGGGCTGGAAACAGTCTATTATGAATTCTGGTAGCAATCACACAGTGTTTGATTTACAATGGCTTGTTCTAATGCAAATGTATGTGTGTTAGAATTATACCATTGCTGTAACAAATCACTGCAAACTTACACTCCAGTATTTGCTATATCTCAAAATGAACGAAAGTTAAAATGTAAATTGTGGTATGTGAATACCAAGGATTCCCAGATAACTGTGGAAAATAAAGAGGCTTTAAATTTATGGTTATAGGATAATCTCCAAGAAATATTTATACAGCAATGATACAACCATTGTGCAAGGTATGCTATCACTTATGCAAAAAGACATGAGAGGAAGTATATGTGTATTTACTTGTACATGCCTAAAATACATAAACATATATATTTAAAGCAAAACAACACAAAACAGAATAAGGGAAAGAGCTGTTTTATCTATCTAAGAACCATTTCTTAGTGACCTAAGACCAGGAGGTTTTACCAGTTCTTTGAAGATAATAGTAAGAAATCATTGCCAGCCCCTGAAAAGACACATAGAATTACATGGAATTTACAAGGAAGATAATATGAAATTACTATGTAAACAAAGCTCTTCCTTGGCAATCGTATCTTTTAATAAACCACTAACAAAATAAAGAATGTCATGCAGATGGAAAATTACACTATTCAGTTTGCCCAGGATGTGAATTCTAGGGCAGAATTCAGAACTGCAAACAAGACAATAGACAAATACAACTAGTTATGTAATGTTTGGAAACCTCCTGGAGAGCAGCCAATCCCCCTGGAAAGTGGCCAGGCACGACATCCCAAGTGAGCTGTGAGTGGGAGGGAGATCCCACCACCTGTGGCATGGGGGTCACTGAAGCATTGGCAGCCCCTGCCTGGATGTTACTGTGCCAACTTTTCTCCCAGACCCATTAAGAAGCCTGGTAGTAACAAACCCAGTGACAAGGGAACAACTAGAAATCTAAAATTGATGGTGAGGAGGGTGTGGAAAGCCTGGTGGGTGGGGGTGGGTGGATAGGGGGTTGATCAAGTGCAATGTAGCCAAGAAAAATTACTGAAAGCCGAATGAAGGTCAAACATGGTAGCGGGGCAGGAGGAAAGTAAAAGAAAATAGAGGACAATTGGACATACCCTCACAGAAGGGTCACAAAGAAGGGACCGGCCAGCCAGGGTGCACTATAGCACTAACAAAACATACAACATTCTCTAGTTCTTTAATGTTTCCTCTCCTCCATTACCATGACCCCAGTCTACCTTACAAATCCTACTAGACCAGAGCATGTACATTGGTACAGAAAAGAGCTCTCGTCACAAGGAATCCAGGACAGATAAACCCCTCAGGAACAACAATGGGAGTAGCAATACCATGAGGATAGGAGGAAGGTGGGGGGAGAAGGGGGAGAAACTGGAAACTGATTGCAATGATCAACATATAACCACCCTCCACCCCCCCAGGGAAGATGAACAACAGAAATGTAGGTGAAGGGAGACATCAGATGGTATAAGATATGAATATAACAATAATTTATAATTTATCAAGGGGTCATGAGGGTGGAGGAGGGAGAGAAAAAAGAAGAGCTGATACCAAGGGCTCAAGTCGAATGAAAATGTTGTGGAAATGATGATGGCAACTTATGTACAAATGTGCTTACTACAATTGATGTATGGATTGTTAAAAGAGCTGTAAGGGCGCCCAATAAAATGATTTATTTTTTTTAAGAGAAGCCTGATAGATTGGCTGGAGAGGAGGAGATAAGAGGCAAGATATGTTAATTTAACCTTCTTATTTCATATTGGAGAGTTAAAAATGTATGAAGTTGATAAATCAACAAATAGCAATACAACCATAGAGTCAGCAAGAGGAAACACAAAAAAGAGCTAAATGTGTTTCTCCTGGGAGGTCGTCCTGGGGAAACAGAATGCCATTTAACTTTCACATGTTGACTGTCACATGCTTTATCTGCTTGTTTACTGCCAGTTGTGAACCTCCTGAATGGTTGTTTCCATGACAGACAAGTTTCTTGAGAGTACAAAGAAAGCTTCTTGAAAATTCTTTATCCAGAGACACATCTGAGTGACACCAATGAACGTTTAAAGCAAAAACCCAATCCAGGATCACTGTTGCACCAAGTTTGTCATGTCTGTTATTTTTCAGTCTTTTCTTGACTCTCATGACCTTGACATTTTTTCCAAAACTACAGGCTGTTCATTTGCTTCATTCTCTAATTTAGGTTTGTCTGATGCTAATGAGAGAAAACAAGCTAGATGTTTTGGCTTTACATAGAAGGAATTCTGTGTGGTCACTGTATCCTAGCACATGATCCAAGGTGACTGGGACCTTGGACTAGTCCATTTCGTATTTCTACCCTTGTTATCTAGAGTATGATAAGATCTGTAGCTGAGTATATAATAACTCATAGGATCTATAAGAATCACCTAGGAATCTTGTTAAAAACGTAGACTTTGTAAAAGGAAATAGAGGAAAGAACTAGGAGGAAAAGGACATCTATAGAGGTATAAATACAGGTATGTGCATATGTAAATATATTTATATATAATGATAGGGACATAGATCTATGTACATATATGTTTTTATATGTTAAGTATTTATATGTTATAATTATTTATATGTTAAGTATTAAGGTAGCAGAAAGACATTAGGTCTCTACTCAAGTACTTTGTTCTAATAACCCGGGACTCTGATGCTCACCTTCCTGACACGATTGCCGAAGACAAAATGGGTGTATAAGTAAATGTGGTAAAGAAAGCTGATGGTACCCGGCTATCAAAAGATATAGTGTCTGGGGTCTTAAAGGCTTGAAGATAAGTAAGTGGCCACCTAGCTGGGAAGTAAAAAAGCCCACATGGAAGAAGCACACCAGCCTGTGTGACCATGATCACAGGATCGGCATCAGAAGAGCCAAAACAAACAATCACATTGATGGGAAAGAGCGGGGGTGGGTGGAGTGGAGACCCAAAGCCCATCTGTAGACAATTGGACATGCCCTCACTGAAGGGTAGCAAGGAAGGGACAAACCAGCCAGGGTCCAGTATGCTGCCACTGTGAGGTTGCTGCACTACTTAGACACCCTTTTCGTGGGTTCTGACCTCTCTCATGCTGCTTTCCCATTCCAATATGATGGCATTTATAATGTTGATGGGGGAAAAAATTTCAAAGTCAAATACAATTAAAGGGAAAAACCATGTTGAAAATTGTCTCAGGCATTATGGTTATTGATATAAGAATGGGAGAGGAATAAAGATGTATGTTGTACCCACCCATGCACGTTTCATCCCACCATTGTCATATACCATAAGGTTTGTTCTAGGAAGAAATGAGAAGTGCATGTTTTTGCTCCATTATTTCCCGACTGACATCACACACACACACACACACACACACACACACACACGCCTGCACTTTCCGTGCTGAGTTCATCACACGGAGGAAGTCTCTACCTGAAATGTTGCAATAAACAGTCTGTTGGTACAGCCTGGCTTCCACAGGGTTGAAATATACCGTAATTTCAGCTGAAGAGTTGGGCCAGACATCACCTTCCTAAAAAAGATAAAAGAATCATCAAACAACTATATGATAAAGAGAAGGCATAGCTTTTAAATGTTAAGTTTTATTCCAGGAAATACTTTTACAAATAAAGAAAGCACACTATTTTTACCCAGCAGAAAATACATTTATACTGCTTGCTAACATAATAGCCTCAGCTGCGTCGGAGAGAAAGACGACCAGTGAATAAGAGAGGGGGACGTGATGCCTGTGGATGAGGGTGTTGGTGAAGAGTATCGCATACGCCATGAACTGCCCGAAGAACAGGCACGTCTGTCTGGGAAGAAGTACAGCCAGCGTGCTCCTTAGAAACAAGCACGGAGAAACTTCATTTCATGCACTTTCACATGTGAGCACGCGGGACCAGCCCCTGAAAAGGACAGAGGAGGAGTGAAAAAGAAGAAGACGTCCAACAAGATGGATTGACACGGTGCTGCAACCATGGGCTCAACAACAGCAATGAATCTGACGGTGGCACTGGACTCTGCTGTGCAGAGTCCCTATGAGTTGGCATCTAACAACAGTTAAAAACAAATGGAAAATTAGTTCCCCAGATACTTTAGTAAGTTTACACACATATAACAATTCGTCAGAGATACTAGGATGTTAATAGCATTTAAAACATTTTGGGGTCCTGTGAAGACTCACATATGCATGCCCAATATGTGGTCAGCACTGGGGCTTTGGGGGGACATAAATGTGTGATCCATCACTGCAGAGCGTTCACGTCTAAGCAGAAGGACAAATGCGTATAAAACGTTTTATAATTTATCTGGTAAGTTCTATACCTATACACATCCAGAAGGCCCCAAAAGAAGTCGCTAATTTCCTGAGTGTAGAGACCACATTTCTAACTTCTGAGGGCACTTTCAGTCTCCTAAAACATGCCTCCCCTCCTTGTTACCAATTGCAGAACAACTAAGACCAGGTCACCTCCTGGTTCTGACATGGTGTGCTATTTCTCACTTCAATTCACGCCAGCCCAAGTCATAATCAGAAAACCCGCTTTTGGAGCTGTAGACCAAACACGCCACATATCAGAAGACCTGTTATGTAATCAGATTTTGTACTAGTCATGTAACTGGCGGCATCTTTCCTAACCTTTCAGGGCTCTAAAAGGAAATGCTAATAGCACCGTCTTCAATGGGTTTCCTTAAGGTTTGAATCAATGGGTTTCCTTAAGGTTTGAACGGGGCCATACCTGGAACTGGTACATAATAAAAGCTCAGTACAGAACTTTCCACTGTGATGCATGGTGTTTTTATGCCTCGTGGAAAACTAAGACAGAAAGACTGAAATAACAGAGAATGAGCTGCAGAGTCTCATTTAAATTTAAAAACAAACAAACAAACAAACAATACAAGGCCAAATAAACATAAATAAGAAATACATCCCCAAAATTTAATACATAAATGACCCCATGAGCCACATAGATTATTTATCAATAATAATGTTCCAGCTGTAGACAGTCCTAAAGGTATATAGTCTCTTGCCAGCCTGGCTAGAAAGGAGCAAACTGCAGGAATAAAGAACCCAGAAAAGAGCAAATGGTTTAAGATGCAGACACAGGACCCTTAGAGGAAAAGAGAAAACTAGTGACCATTGAATTGATCTAGGGACTCATCAGCCTGCCCAGTGCATGTCTGAGTCAGAACAATGGAGGGCTCAGAGCCAAGGGTGGGGACTGGTCACATGGTCCTGCACTTTCTCGCATCCCTGGAATGGCCCACTGGGATGAAGGCTCCAGGAAGGCAGGTGCTGCTCTATCTCCAGTACCTAGAGCAGAGAGGCTTATCATCGGTGCTCAGTAAATATTGATGGAAGCAGTTGTACTCACCCAGTTTGCACAGTTTGTAGCTATTAGAAGATGCCTACTCATCTTTGGAACTAATTTCTGCCATTTAGTCCTCAACTGGAACTACAAAAATCATAAAATTTTAGAGCCAAAGGGGGCCTTTAAGATTACATAGGGATTAAGGAAATCCTAAGCACTTCCACTTATTTATATTGTGACTGTGGTGCTTTCCCAAAACCTCGAAGCAGGTGACCTGCTCCCATCTGGTAATGGAAGGATGCCAGGACAGTTTGGGTCAGTGGGTGGCCTTAGTGGTATGGAGTGTCAGGGAATATTCATGTTTAGAATGGGCATTGGGCCTGGAAGACCCAGTGGGTCACTTGCTCAGGGCTTCAGCCAGTCAGACACAAGAGTATCACTAGGTACCCCATTTCAGACCTATGGATGACCCAGGCTTTCCCCTAACCCACTAGACAAAAGTTTTCCAATAGTGGATAGAGAGTCTGCTCTAAATCCAGACTGACTGAATCTTAAGAAAACTCATGCTACAAAAGGCTACACAGGACATCAGATAAGCTCAGTACATTTGGGCAAAGTCCAAGGTCATGTCGGTCCGATCTCTTTTAAAAGCATGGTCTCAGAAAAGAATCCAGGGTCCATTTGTGCAGAGGACAGCAACACACTTACTAAAATGTCTATGCCAGAAGCATTTTTTGACAACCCATCACTCAACAAGTTTGACTCTAGCACAACTGGTGAGTTGTCAATGGGTGGTACTAGACATAGAGCCCAGGGGCTGGGGCGGGCTGCTAACCTCCAGGGCAGGAGTTTGAATCCACCAGGTGCTCTGAGGGATAAAAAGAAGGCTGTCCATTCCCATAAATATTTACAGCCTCTGAGACCCACAGGGTAGTTACACTCTGCCTTACATGCTAGCTAAGAGTTTGGTTTTGATTTTAGGCATGTTCCTGAGGGGTGCCCAACTTCCCAGGGGAGACAAACATTCACAGGATTGTGGAGTGGATCATCTGACATGTAGGCCCTGAAAGCTGAGAAGCTTTTTTGGTTGGAATGGCAGTGCAAGGAGGCCTGAGTTTACAGTGTGACAACTGAGCAAATGGGAATGAATTCAAGAGCAAACCTTATTCTGAAACCCTCCCCTGGGCTCGTAGCAGGTAAAGAGTAAGAGGAGGCTGTGTGGATCTGTACAAACAGAAGTGTGGTCATGCTGTTTTCTCTCACAGAGGGAGGCTCTCAATGTTAGGTCATTTGAAAGAGTATTCTGGCTCCATCAGAATCATCTAGAAGTAAAGTTGTACTTCTCACTTGATGAAAATTAAAGTTAAAGAACTTCACTTTCTTTCGAGCAAACACTGAAGCATGTCCCAGCAGATCTTAAGCACCAGCAACAGACAATAAGCCTAAGATGACCATACTTTTACTTTGAAAACACTTCATATTACTACTTTAACACATCTGAAATTAACTTACAAGTCATCAGTGGCTCTGAAAAGAAATCTGTCTTTCATGCTGCAGTTCTACGGTTTGCAAACAAAAGATTCCGAATTTTCTCTACTGG